ACAATTCAAACCCTGCCGCTCAGCACCCACACGCCTCCCCTCTGACGCCGTCCACCCACTCCGCCCTCTGCATTCCTCCCATCCTCCTAAGGGTGAACCTCCACTCACTCTGATGCCCTGCAACACCCGAACTTGCTCCTGCTCGTCCAGCTCGAAGGAGACCTTCCTGCTGCCAGGGGTGCTCCCGCTACCCCCCATAACAGCACCCGGGGCGGGGGGAACAGAAAACTCGGAGGCGAGTTCAAAATCAAGACAGCTACCCAGACAGCACGCTTCGCTCCACCCGCTTTATAAACTCGCTCCTGGTTGGCGAACGCGGAGAAAGTCTCCCAATAGCGCTACGCGGTCTTGGAGGCGGCCGTGAAGCATGTTGGAAGTCGTAGTCTTCCCTCTCCACATTCCTCTCTAGAGACGATGCTGCTGCTGCTGCTGCTGTTAAGCTAAATTAGATAAAATGACCCACAAACTGAACCGGTTTAAGGTTACGTTTTGTCAACGATTGGACCGGAGATGAGACGCATCCGGAATTTAGGCTTTTCGGCAAGACTAAACTTGTTCGCGATGCTGTTTCACCTAAACCTATCAGAACCAAGTCATTGCTTTCCATTGGCGCTGTATATGGTAGTTTGCAACTCCTCTGTAAATTTAGAAGTCACCAGTAGAGGGACAGAAAACAAGTCAACCTGCTTTTTATTTTTCAAATATAAATAATGTGATCATTGAGTTTCTATTTTTTTATTTTAACATATGTTCCAATATTACCTCAATTAAATTTCAGCTTTAATAACTGGATCAAATTCCTCCACCTCACAGAATTCCTACAGATGGAAAGCAATGATGATCAAACAAATGGCAACTTCAAATCTCAACAAATAAATTCTCTGTCTTACATATTAGCAAAAAAATAATAATCAGAAAATAAAATACAGGCTGAGTAGTCAAGACCTTGTTGATGATCCAAACTCTGTCAAGGATCTTGGAGTACTCATCTCTAATGATCTAAGTGCTAGAAATCACTGTAACTACATAGCCAAAAAGGCATTAAGAGTTGCTAACCTAATCTTACATAGCTTTTTCTCTGGTAATATTACACTACTAACTAGAGCATACAAAACATTTGCTAGACCAATACTCGAATACAGCTCATCCGTCTGGAACCCACACTATGTATCTGATATTAACACAGTTGAGAAAGTCCAGAAATATTTCACAAGAAGAGTTCTCCACTCCTCTACTCGTTGCAGAATACCTTATGCCACCAGACTTGAAATTCTAGACCTAGAAAATCTAGAATTACGCCGCCTTCAGTCCAATCTTAGTATATAAAATCATACATTGCAATGTCCTACCTGTCAATGAATATTTCAGCTTCAACCATAACAATATAAGAGCAAACAATAGATACAAACTCAAGGTTGCATATAATTTTGAATAAAATTTGTGGGCATCAAAAACTTGTGCCTTTCCAAATGTTGACAGATCGTTAGAAGCTGTGAATTGAGTCTCATTACTATACATTATTTGTTTGTCAATTTATAGCCTACCTTTCCTCAAGAGCAAAAGATGGCATAATTCTGCCATTTATTTCTCATAATGCTAACTCTGTATGGTAAGATCATTTGATAAGATTCTGACTATTTAATTATTTGCTTACTTCTAAAATAGATTGTCAATTACCAAGACAAACATAATGGTTACTGATACTGAACATACTGAGAAAAACACAGTGTTCTGTAACTGATAAAATCCAGTTGCTACTGGAGATGTTTCCATTTAAATGCTTTCCATCTCTGATAAAAAGCCTTTCAACCTTTCTTGCTTCTGAGCTTCCAAACTTTTGTGCACTACACAATAAAGCTTCATTTTTTTCTAATTAAAATGGATCAAATTTGACAATTAAAAATAGATAAAAACATATTGCCTTAAAAAGCTGAAGGAGGAACATTTGTGCCTGTTCCAACCCAAAATAACAGTTGTATTTGGGATCACTGGTACAATATGTGGCAACCATAAGAAGTCATAATGAAAATAAACGCTTTTTATTTTATTCTATTGTTCCTGATAGCACCTTAAAAAGGAATAAAAATTGAAGTTTCAAAATTCAAGGCACATTAAAAGCACAAACATTTAGCTGTTGTATTATAATAAAAGCTGACTGCCTCCAATGCAAAATAATAGAATGTTTGTTATCTGTTTGAGTACCTGAAGCTGCTAATTGTAGGTTTAGGAGTTCATTTCTTAATCTGTAAAGGGACTTGGTCTTATATCACCATAGCAACCAGCATAAAGAAACCTTCCAATATTTACTAAACATGAAAAGAATGATAAAATTCAATTATTTAAATTCAAAAACAAAGGGCTAGCTATTGCCTACAGCAGTGTATGTGTGCGTGTGTGTATTTGTGTGTAATCCATTTCATAATTACAGTGGTTCTCTTTCCTCTACAAGCAGTTTATTTTTTTACATACATTTAAAAACACCTAATTCCAACATCTAATTCTAAGTCCAAAATGCAATGGCAAGACTAGTTCTTCAATATTGTAATTCTTCAATCTAAATTAAGTGCTGGTTACCACTATAAAGCCCCACACAACATAGGACTGGATTATTATTGGGCCTCCTTCCCAGGGTCTGTCCCACAACTCCAATAGGATGGGAACCATGTCAACTTACGGGACCAAGGTGGCATGCCTTTTCCATGATGGTGCCTGCTCGCTGGAAATATATCACCCTCCCCTTACCATAGTTATTTTTATTTAAAGGGTTTATTTGGCCACCTATCTCATATAATGATTCTAACCAGCTCACAACAACCCATAGAAAAGGCAGTTTGGTCTAGTGGTTAAGGCACCAGACTAGAAACCAAGAGAGTGTGAGTTCTAGTCCTGCCTTAGCCATGAAAACCAGCTGGGTAACTTTAGCCAATCACTCTCAGCTCAGCACACCTCCCAGGGTTGTCGTGGGGAGAATACGACGAGGGTGTGTTAGATATGTTAAGCCAGGGATGTCAAACTCGCATCATCACATGACGTATTGCAACTTTTTTCCCTTTGCTAAACCGGACATGGGGAGCATGTGACACATCTGGCCTGCAAGTTTGACAATCCTGTGTTAGTCACTTTGAGTTGTTTGTAAAAATAATAAAAGTGGGATATAAATAAATACATAAAAGCATAGTTAAAAACAAAATAGGGCTGGTCTTAAAACTTGCAAACTTCAAATAGTGCAGAACATACAGAAACACAAAAACTTAGGGATTTAATGGCTACTGTTGTTTGATGTTTTCTATTTTCCTTTCAACCAAAATAATAACTGCCATGCAGAAATCTAATCAGAACAGCCAGAGTTAAGCATTTATTTATTTTGCTTTAATATTATCAATCTGGATTTATAGGCTTGTTAATAAAATTGATTTTAACATTTTAACATGATACCCATGCTTACTTTTGAAGTTCAGGAACCGTACTTTCTTTTTAGCCAAAACCATTTCTCTTGTTTTATTGTACAAGAATTAGCTTTTTCAGCAATGAAACAATAGTGACTCTATTCTGGAAGCCCTTGAATATAACTGCAAACATTAAGAAACATACAAATTCAATTGAAAATGAGGGTGATGAAACCCATTAATTTGCCACTTGTGGAATGTTATGATCAGTTTTCTCGTTTAACTCTCATGTCTCTTATTCTGTACCCAAAATGAAGACTTGACCCTCCCTCTTAATAAAACATTTTCACTTTGCCGTAAATATTCAGGATTTGTACTGTTGGGAGGAGCAAAAACAACATTTTGCTAAGTTAGACTCTCCCAAGTTCGGGATCAAGTTTTTATCCGCTTCAGGGCAAATTCAGGTGCCCGAGTTTTACAGGAAATGCAATTTATAGTATATTTTATTGTTTGGAATTTATATTCTGTGCTATTCAGAGTAATAATGGAACAAAGTACTAGTATTAAGTACTAGCTGTCTGGATTTTTTTTCAAGCCCCATTCAAAATACTATATTGCTGTTTAAAGTCTAAAACAGCATGCACCAATAATTGTATCCCACAGGCAAAGATAACCAGGGAAATGTGCTTTGTTGTGGTTAAAGGAAGTTTTTCTTTTTCAGTTGTCAGTCAGCACTAATTTTGCAATTATTGATTTCATACTTTTTCATTTACTCAGATGTTTAATTATGGACCAGTGAAGTTGCTGCCATTTTTCATTGATCATAGTATTTTATATTTCTACAGTCCTGGTATTCACGAAGATGAAGGACAAGTTTAATAAACAGAGAGGCATTTCAAAAATAGTTCACTTTATTGAGTAGAGGGACTTACTCAAAGCAAGCACTGGGGGGGGGGGGAGAGAGAATAGTTTTACCATAATCTCTTTATATCTAACTAAGCAACATAAACTGAATCTGCTTCACATGTGAATCCCAAAAGTACTACAGGTAGTCCTCAACTAACAGTAGTTCACTGAGTGACAGTTTGAAGTTACAGTGGCACTGAAAAAAGTGACCTATGACCATTTTTAACACTTATGATTATTGCAGAATCCATGGTCGCATGACCAAAATTCAGATGCTGGGAAACTAGTATGATGGTTGCAGTGTCCCAGGGTCATGGGATCCCCTTTTGCGATCTTCTGACAAGCAAAGTCAATACGGAAGCCAGATTCGTTTAACAACCATATTACTAACTTAATACCTGCAGTGATTCACTTAACAACTGTGGCAAGAAAATATCAAACCCAGTTAGTTCTAGGTTGATGTGACACTGAGCCCTATCTGAAGGTGTGATCACAATCTGAAAACACCACTCTAAAACTTAAGCCAGATTTGACTAAAAACAATCTTAACAATGACTTTTCTCCTTAAAATAAAAGCATTTCATTACAGTATAGCAGGCTACCTTGGGTGTGTTGTTTTTTTTTTTTTTTTTGGGGGGGGGGGGGGGGGATTAGCAGAAAAATATGGGAAATGCAGGCAGATTATCGCTGATGGGGGAGATGTCTTCATTTACGTCAAAGGTCATGTATTTTACAGACAAAAATATACATAGCTTTATTTTTAAAGTTTGTTCCAACATTTCATGAGAGATGCAATACATTCACCTCCACAAACATTGCCCGTTTATGGATGGTATTTTGCTCTGAACATGGAAGGCATTATCTATATACACTTTAAAATCAGTATACTTGGAAGAAGACGTTTCTTTCACTTAGTGCAGTTTCTCCTCAGCAGCAGAAGACAAAGGTAGATATATAAAGAGGCGTTTAACAATCAAGTCATTGTGGTGATGAACAACAGGATTCTACAGTGGAAAAGTGATCATAGTTGACTGAATGGACGATATTTGATGCAGAATATGGTTAGTAAACGTATCTAAAATGTCATCTCATCCCGATTCACATTATCAAAGATATCCATCTTCATATTAAGAATCCTTTCATTTCACACATGCACCTTAAGGTGCCGGAAGCTTTCTCCAACTTTATTCCTTCCAGATCTGTGGGTCTATAACACTAATCCACTCTAATGAGACTAGCCCATGTAAGGATATTGGGGAATTCTGGCTGGGGAGGAGAAAGAGATTGGGATATCCTATAGAAGTAGGGAATTGAGAAATTAATAAAAAACTGACCAGTTGCCTGGGAATACAAGTTTTGTATGATCCAGCTCACATAATGCTGCAATAAATTATCATTTCTGAACAGAGGTTTCCACCAGCCTAATTCCAATTAACACCATAAAAATTAATGAGATGTCAATTACAAATTATGTAAGATTTCTTGCCACAAGACAATAATGCTTCTAACACCAGCAAGTCAAATTAAAGTACCAAATTGTGATGTTTAGAAACTGCTACTCTGGCCAACAACAAAATTAAAGACATTTTTTTGTTTTCTATCATATCAAACATGCTAATCTTCATTAACAACACATCCAAATAGCAGTTTTAAGCATGAGTCTTCTTTTTCTGAATTTTTCTGAATTTAGATCATTTTGAAACACTTAAAACCAAGATCTTATGTACATTGGTGTTGGCTTTAGCAAGCAGAAATCACAAATGGCAGAATTTTTAGGAAAAAGGGAATAACGTCTGCATTCAGTAGACAAAATATTTTTTTTTCTTTTTGTGCCTCAGTTCTAAAAGGCTTCCTTAAAGCAAATAAATTTTTAAAAAATTGCTGTGAGTTTCTGGAATCCTAACCTTATTCATCCATTTGTAGCATAAATGATCCTGAATTAATTGCCATCGTAACAATAGGAAAAATACATTTTGGTTTGTCATTCTTATTTTATGGAATTTTAAATCCAATTAGCTGTGTCTACATTTGCCTCCTAGCCAGTCTCTATTCAAATAATTTTACCCACAGTTCGCACACTATTAAGGGTGCCCATAATTATGCATTTTCCACTTAACCTTACAGCAAGAACATCAACAACAACAAAAGGCATAATGCATGGGCACAAAATGCAAGCTTTTTGGAACATTTTAGATATGCTATTTTTCTTCTTGCCTTCAAAGTATAGCCAATCTTATATTATTCTCTTTCCAGAAGCATCTTGATTATAATAAAAGAAATTAACATTCTTTTACTTTACTAATCTCAAAGGAAAGCCTCCAGAAGTCTTCCAAATTCGGGCATTACCAACTTCACTAATGCAATTATCAGCCAAGTGTTACCAAAGATTTCAGAAAAACCAGGTCCAACACTATCCTTATTAATACGGTCCTAACCAGGAGGACCAGACCACAACTAATATTATAAATAGCTTGTCTTTAATCTAGACCCCATAGTGACTTCAGGCTTGCACTCTATTTAGATGCCATCCCAAGCATCAATAGCAAGCTGTCTAAAACAGGCTCCTAAAATATTTCTATTTGCTCTTCTACCCTTTTCATTTTAGAATTTCCACCCAAGCCATCTTCTCCCTACCCAATCCCATTTGCACAGAAGTGCTGTTGGTCTTACAGTACATCATTCCATAACACTCACTTGGCTACATTCTCATTCTGAAAATTATACAGTGTATGAAACATGCCTGCATGTCAATAAATCACAGTAGTTCAGTCACACAGCAATGTGTTCCAGAGACCTTTCCTTGCTGACTACTTTCCTTTCCTCTCCTTCTCTATGTAAGGTCTTTTTAAAATGCAATATACTCCCAACTTCCCTGGGAAGAATTATGAGATGCTCAAAAACTTCCAGAGTTCTCCCACCTCCATTTCAATCATACATTAGTTGCCCAAAATGCAGGAACTTATCCTCCAATTCCAAAGTGAAGGTTACTGCTGGGAATTTGAACTTGTTGGGAATACAAATAATAACTAAATCAAACCTAAAAATAAAATAAAATGCGAACAAGGCATTCCAACCTTAATTTCAGATTGTTTGTGTGTGGGTGTGTATCCGGAGGAATAGTCAATATTCCTGGTAGAATGTGCATTTTATCACGAACAAAAGGTGACAAACGGTCTAACCATGTAGATTTGGAATGCCAAGAATATGAAAAGTCAGCATTTATGCATGTCTGAAATGAAGCAATCTGTACGCTGTCTCACAAAGATGAGTATTGTCCTTCCAGGAAGACTACAGTTGTCAATTTTATGTTCCATACAGAATTCAAATATCTTTGTTAAAAATAACACCTCCAATGAAAGAGAAGGACAAACACATCAGAGTTCCAAAAGATTATCTGAATGGAACAATGGGTGCAAGAGAAAGTGATTCTTTCAACCACATCTGCCTTTAGGAGTTAATGGCTTTCCATCGATCACTGTCAATGCTATTGATGCTGCCCACGTGGTACGGCATGGAAGCAACATCGTCCAGGTATGCCGTGGTGTCAATCTGAGTGTTGGAGTAGAAGCCAGAATCCAGCCCTTCTTTTTTGGTTACCCCATAAGCATGGGGAAGATGCACATCAACATCCTCAGGTTCATCCACCTGGCATTTATAGGAGAAGAGGATCTTTGGTTCAGACCTAAAATAATAAGAAAGAAAAGGAGAAGCTCCTCTAATTCTGGGTAAGGAGAGAATCTATTGCTCATAATCATCAGCATCATCTTTTAACAACCCCATAATCCCTTGCAGGGTAGAGTCTGGGCAATCGAATGGAGCTAGCGGAGTGTTTAATGGCCGGATACCCTTCCTGTCACCAATGCGGAGTTTTTGTTCAGCAGATTCTCATTCTGTCCAGAGAGAGAAATATCTGCCTCTACCTAGGACCGAACTCACAGCCTCCTGATTGTGAGGTGAGAGCTCCACCTCTAGACCACCACACCACTCCTATTGCACATAATTCCTGAAATAAATAGCGATCGGCAATATATAGCTTATTGTTTATTTGTATCTCGCCTGCTTTATTATTTTTACAAACAACCCAAGGTGGCAAACATATACAACAAATCTTCCTCCTATTTTTCCTCACAACAGCCTTGTGAGGTAGGTTGGGCTGAGAGAAAGTGACTGGCCCAAAGTCACCAAATGGCTTTCATGGGTAAAGTAGGATTTGAACTTTCAGCATCCCACTTTCTAGGCTTAACCATTAGACCAAACTGGCTTTCCTTTATTGTTCTTGTATTCATAACTACAATCCTAAATAATATTGTTGATTTAAGAACCAGCATCATACTAAAATCAAACGCCTACATCAAAATGTCTATTTGAATTAGGGTAAGCTTTGATGTGCTATACCCCTAGCATTGGGCAAAGAAGCTCTGGTATTATCTAACTTTAACAGGCATAAAAATACTTCTAACTTATCAAGTAATAAAATAGACTAACATTTTGCTTGCTCTAAAAATCATGCTATGTATATTGTAATTAAAATTAAATGTGAGTTAAATGTGAGATGGGCAGCTATATAAATTAAATATGAGATGGGCAGCTATATAAATTAGAATAATTAATTAATTAAAATGCTCTCCTCAAGCAACATGGCAAAAAAACACACTTTCAGAACGTTCCTTTTCTCTTAGTTAATTACCACAATGCTCAACTTTTAAAAAATGACATATGCCTGTGGCATTATTCCCCTGTGCTATCTGCTACAAGGAACAGCTGTGTGAAGCAGAAAAAAGGCTGAGTTTCTGCCCTTTTAATAGAGATTACCAACTGATGAGGTTTGTCCATTAAATTCAGGAACCCTCTTCATTTTTGCTAAGCAATCCTACAAATACATTTCCAGCAAAATCAAAAGCTAACTATAAAAAATATGCAAGTTCTGGATAAATCTGCCTGAACATAAAACAGACAGAATAACTGATCAGCAATTTAAGAGCAATTTAAATTATTTCAAGTATTTCTCAATTCCCCATGTGGCCACCAGATGGCAGTCTAAATTCAATAAATATTCTTTTAGAACACTGGCAAAAAGAATTCCTGGTATTTACTAACCCTGGGAATTAGAATTGCTTTATTCTCTTCGGCTTTGTAACTGAGATGAGCATCACCCCCTAGAGCCGGAAACAACTAGCATGTATGTGCAAGGGGAACCTTTACCTTTTATTCTGTTCACCAATTTAGCTAAACTGCACTTTATTATTTTTTAAATGGCCTTATTGTCTCCATTTCACAGACCAACATAATGTATAGTGTTGCTGGGCTTACAACTGAGCCTCACATTTATGGCCATTGCATATGATCAAAATTTGAGTGATTGGCCACCTGATATGCATTTACAGTTGCAGCATCCTGGTATTACGTGATCACCATTTTGTGACCTCTCCACCTGGCTTTCAGCAAGCAAAGTCAATGGAGAAGCCAGGTTCATTTAATGACTGCATGATTCACTTAACAACTGCAGCGATTTGCTTAACAATGCTGTCAGACAAGGTTGTAAAATCAGACGTGACTCACACAGAAACTATGTTTCCATTAAGCAATGGAAATTCTGGTCCCAAGTATGGTGGAAAATAGCAGATTACCTCTACACTTTTTAAAATTGCTGTTCTCATTACTATTGTTGGAATTTCAATTCAATTACTGTATAGTGAGGAAGTTATCTGTCTGCTCTAGTCTAAACTTCCCTGGACACATAACCCCCAAAAACAAGATTAAGGGACTGTAATAAAATAAATGAAAAAGCTTACCCAAAGAAACTTTTCAGAAATGCCACATAGATGAGTGGAGCAAAAAAGCTGAAATAGAGGAAGGTGGTGGCATCCACACAGCTGTGAACAGATGAAACACAAAAACATTTAGCATCTGCTTCTACACTACTAACATGCATGCCCCACGGGCTCAATTTTCAGGAAAGGGTTGTATTCCTTGACAACAGAGAAACCAAGAAAGAAGGCTTAGTAAATATATGTTTTCAGAGGGGACAGTTCCCAGGCCTGGCTTCTTCCTTCAAAGACCTCCAGAGAGTCAAGGTCAGAGTAGATACTTTCAGAGTTTCTCCACAAAAGGGCCTTTTATCACACAGTGTTTGCACAGCCTAGGGGACAAAGGGGCCACAAACACAGTTCAATGACTGCACTAAACCTATTCTCAATAATGCCTAGGGCCATCAGGTTTCTCTCATGAATGTTCATTTTTAAAAGGTAGGAATGATTGCGTTTTTGTTTTATTCTGATAATAGGTACCATATGTGTTCGCTCTCTCTCTTTTTGTTACATCATGGCACAGCAATTGCCAAATCAAAATATCCTTGAAACAAATCACAATATTATTCTCCAGCTGTAAGGTTATCTATTCCCAACTACTAGGGAATAAATGAATGCTGCTCTTGTACCACAAAATGAATAAAAGCACATCCAGTTTGTCTTAAAGCAAGGGGGCGGGGGAGTATGTAGGTCTACTTAAAGTTGTACTCTTTGTCGTCTAAACTTTTTTTTAATTTATCCAATTTCTAGGCTGCCCATTCCAAAAATAACTTCAGGGGGCGCTTTATAAAATTTCCAACAGAAAAAAACATATATTCTCACAATTACCTGAAATGAAATTACCTGAAAAAACCTGCTGCCACCCCGATGCAAGGGTGAGGAGAAAGCCATATTTTTAGGGCATTTTCGGAAACAGGTGGGTTGAGCAGAGCAGAGCAAAACTCTGGAGAGATTCTGTCCCAGGGTGCAGGCCCTGAAACTGAGGGGAGCTGCTTCCTGGGTACCAGTAGATGCCATTCCTTAAAAACTACTTATTTTTCTAACAGTTCACCCTGCTTTTGACAGAATTTGTGGTAAGATGGGTGACTATATAAATGTTTTAAATAATCAAACACAGTCATGGCAAGGAAGTCTGGGGTTCCTTTTGCTTTTTCCTTTACTGGTTTATTTTCCACGAGAAGCTTCGTTTGTGAATTCATTCTCACAACCGTACATGTGTAGGAGACTAAATCCAGCCCATTGCCAATCCATTTAGTGCCTACTTTGCTTGTGGTTTAAGTTTGTCACTGTCGTTCAATCCATCTCCAGTACAGGATGACAGCAAGGTGTTTACGATAGGCATAAGCTGAATGTGGTAATACAGATTTTCCATACGACTGAGCCAAGCACACAGTGGCTCTTAATGGTGCCTCTCAGTGCTTTGCCCACGTTCGGCGAACTTGTTTCTGTTACTTTAACAGAAGTAAGCAGTTGCAATCTTCACCGCTACTTGGAGTAAGCTTTATTAAGTGGTATATACTTTTCAGAATGAGAATGTAGCTAAGTGGTGTAATCTACACAGACTTCTGCTAAATAGGCTTCTTAGAAGAAGTGAGCCAATGGTCCTAGGGTACTTGATAGTGCAGTTCCCAATTCCATGAGGAAGAACAATAAACCATTCTTTTGTAAGAAAAATAGCTCTTTTACAGGGGAAAACAGGGTCTTCTGTGGGAGTTCTCACTTTTTGCTCTTCTTTCTCCTCTTCAGTGGACCAGACCTGCCGCCACGACCTAACCTGATCTCCCCCTTGTTAATTGCACTGGCCAAACGTTAGGGAGGTTGGCCTAAGGCCAAACACACACAAGGTTGAGATCAAATTGACTGCCTGTGCCACCCCAGCTCCAATGTCACTCAGTTTCAAGTAGGGAAGGAGGAGCTGCTGGCCTAAGAAACCCACAAGAAGATTCTCACATGCTCCCAGGAAGAAGATGAAAAATTAATGTATTTAATGCAACTACAAGAAACTAGCATGCCACCAGATGAATTACTCCAGGCTCCAAAGAACATTCTCCCTGTGTGTGAAATAAAAGGGGAGATCTTTGACTCACTGTTTGGTTCAGCCTACTTAAATAAAGCAGTGCTCAAAGCAACAGGGACCAAGTATCTTGATTTCCTCCCACTGACCTTTACAGAGATAAGAGAAGGACAGAGACAAAGACTTTAGACTTAGGAATCAGGCCACAGTGATTACTCTCTATTATGGAACATAATTCACTCCCCATCAAAAGGAGGAAAGGGCCCAGGGAAGAAATGATGGCTTCCATATGCAATGGCAGATAAAAGAATCCAAGGGGCCACCCCTGAGGGCACAACAGGGATGGGAAAAGAGTTGTCCCTCAGTAACTTCAGAGTCTATACCTGAAAAAGCTAATCTTTATTGAAAAATTGGTTGGAAACTGTTTGCCTCCACCCAAAAGTCATTTTGATGGTTCTATGGCTCTATCAGACTTCAGAATACCTACCATAAGCCTTCAATGATACCTGCACAAAGCAGAGCACTGCCGACACCTTGCACTAAATTGAGCACAGCAAGAATTCCTGCATAGATATAGAAACTCTTCCTTGCTGGAAAAACACAAGAGACAGAAACAGCAATTTACTGAAAGATTTTTTTTAAAGGGAACACAGTAAAACCCAGCATTGAAAGCACTTGAGCACAAAATGCCAATTTCAAAGCACTTTCCATTTATGATTGGACCATCTACTTATGTGCAATTTCAATTTAACATAAATTAAATTTAACATAACTTGAATTTGCTCATTCTCCCACTGCTTCTTTGTATTATGGTCTCAAAGGCCATCCTGAATGGCACTCATCCATTTCATTTCTTCCACTGCACTTGAAGGTTAAATAATAAAGTTAACGAAGACCACAATTATATATTCATGCTAAGTGTAACCACAGTTTAACACTCTAAAATTGAAGGCAGGATAGGGAGTGTCATTTGAAAGCACGGCTGCTTCTCTCACCAAGAACCTATTTTACCTGATATGAAATAAAGAAAATCAAAATTAGGTGCTCTGTTGCAGGTTTCATGTGCTACCGTGTTTCTCATATAATAAGGCCGGGTCTTTTTTTTTTTTTTTTTGAGCCCCGAAAAAATGGCTAGGCCGTCTTTTCGGGGGTGACTTAATTTCCTCCCCCCCCCCCTTGCATCTTCGGGTGGGTGGGCGGTGACGGCTTGGATGTTGACCTCGGCGTTGGTGGGGCACTTTGTATTGGGGTCAACGCAGGCAGCACTATATCCGGGTGTGCAACAAAAGTACTTCCAAACGGCAAGCCCCCCCACCATCCCCCCCATTTCGTATGTTTTAATATAGGCCTTAATTTGGGGGGAGGGGCTTAATTTCATTTCATGCCTATAAAACATGCTGGGACTTCCTATTGGGGGAGGCCGTATTGTTGGAGAAACAGGGTATAAGATTTGCTTTTCCCAGGAAGGGTCTCAGTTTCTCCTTCCCAATCAAATAATAGGTGCAAAAAAATTATCTCAAGTGCAGAAGGCCCTGAGGCCACTAAGCTGATGACTGTACTTAATGCCAACTTCTGTAACTCTCTCCAGATTGGAGAATGCTTTTGTTATCAGTTAGTTCAAGGAAGAATAGATTCAGTGCTACTATAGCTACACTTGCAAACCTTTAAAGAAGAAAATGACTGGGTTTGACCTGCAAGACAGCAGGAGCAGCAGCCTGCCTTTGGGAACTACGGAAACCCTAATACTGCAGAACTGAACAAAATAATCCAGCTTGAAGAGAGAAAAGTTAACTTACATGGCAGAGAAATACGATCCTTCAAGGGAGTTTTGGGAAGCACCACCACAAAGGAATAAACCTATCATGAAGAGAAACGGCAGATGGGTGGGCATAGAAGCTATTAATGGCAGACAGAGATTATCCAAGATCCTGCCTTATTTTCATTGTGACTAATATTGTTGTATTTACAAGATATTAATAAGATTTTAAAAAGGCAATTCTAGTTATCCAGGAAAAATGCCAATGTTTTGGTGCTCAAAAAGTTTACTTTCTTACTTACCAGGAAGAAGAAACTAGAGCTGGCAAGCCAGAAATGCCTTCCTCCATGGCTATAAATATTAAAATCTTCTGCTGAGAGTTGAGCATCAGGATAACGGATTTCGAGAGTTCCCTGAAAATTGATAGGGAGCAATGAGAAAAGACATTCTGTAAATATTTACAAAAAACGCTCCTGTTTTCATTCTGAAATGCTTGAGGAAGAGGCATCACTGAAAAGTCAGCACTTTGCATCACACCATCTCTCAGCCTATTTTGCAAAAGAGAAGCTTCAGAATATTTGTTATACCTGGAACAATGATAGCCTTTGGATTTAATTCCCAGGATAGAGATAGACACAAATGAGATTCCATTAATGTACTTTAGATTGCTCCCACGTTGCTTGGTGAAATTAAAAAAAAAGTGTAATAGTTATAGTAGAAGAAAATGGCACCTACAACAATCTAAGTAACATTATATATTTAACATAACCCTAACCTTGACCAAGACTTGACAGGAAGTCACGGATTTCCTGATTTTACAACTTCTGTATTTGCTTCTTCTATACCAAATAGAAATCTCATAGTTTGGCTGCAAAAGATTCTTTGTGGCAGAGAAAATGACATCCTACAGTCTATTTATTCACTTGTACCTTTTTTTCCAGATTGTAATTCACAATAATAAACAAGGCACAATAATCAAGCAAAAATAGCTAATAAATACATTAAAACATCCCAACGTGATATATGGAATCCAAACCCCAAAATCCCCCCCCCCATTTTTTTTTCCAGAAACTGATAACCAGACCTCTAATGGGAGATAATTTCAGAAAGTCAGCCACATCATGGAAAAACACTTAAGATAGCACCTGAAAATGAGAAACAACTAGCTGCTTCTCCTGGCGTGATCAAACGTGTTAGAGTAACTCGGGGACAGATGCAGTCCTGCAGAAAATTTAGCACCAAAACTGCAAGTTAAAACCAGTAGAAATAACTGGTTGTCCACTATCAATGAGAAGGGTAGGATGACACTTACAGCCATGATGGTCTTAACTTACTCTTCTTTCTGGTTTCTTTCTCCTGCCCTTTGCACAAATTAATAGTCTTGGCACCATGCACAATGGCTTAGATATCAAACGCTTATTGTCAGCCTTCAAGATCTTCTTCCTTTCCTTTGCTTCTTTCCGGCTGCCATGAGTAACAGGGGGGTGGAAGGGGGAAATGTATGGGACGTGAGCCGAAAGTGTTACTAACTGACATTGTATAAACTGGAGAGGGTTTCTGATTCCTGCTTAGCTTTCTCTTCTCTGCACAACTTTATCTGACTAAGCCAAGGTCAACTAATCATCACCACCTGGAGATGTCCACATGATGAAGTTCACAACTTTTAATTGGAAGAACAGTTTGAACTATTGGGGGTGGTAACGTTTCACTCCCTTGATATATGTGATGTACGTGCCTATTTCCCCAGATTCAGAATTTTCTTGTTGCTACCACTGACTTCCAGTAAAAGACATCTTTTCTCTAATTACAAGAGTCTAAGTATTTCTTTCCTGGATTTTGAACGGAGCTGACACTTATTGTATGTTTACATAATTGCTACCTCTGGCCTGAGAATCATGGGCTTCTATCTCAATCCTCTCAACATCTTAAAGTTTGCATGTTAGATGCCTTATTCTGACCAACATTAGACAAGGCAATATAGTAATGAAAGCTTAGTTAGTATTTCATGCCAAGCCAGCCAGTGTGATTTCTACACCATGATGTATGCTAGTAGTTTAGTCCATAAACTATTAAACTAACCATGGCTTAGTGCAATTTATCAACTTGGATTCTTGAACTCAAAATAACATTCAAGATTATTCCCTTCCCAACTTATCCCAAAATTTATCTTAAGACTTAAGTGGTTTCCAGCTTTATTTCACATTAAACCATCTGCTAGAATTTTGCACCAAAGAATTGCTTTTCCTTGAGAGCATAAACTAGACAGCCAGGTGTTTCTGCCTTAATTATGCTTACCTGTGTCACCGAGTAGGCCAACGACAGAACAGTGGTGATACCCAGGACACGCTTGACACTGGATTTGCTTTCCAGGTGGCCTAATGGAACGAAAATCATACTCTTGAGTCAACCCCTGAACAGCTTAGAGTGCCTGCCTCTCACAGAGCTTTTCTGGCTTCTAAATCCAAGGATCCAGAATTCATTTTAACTATTTACAGGTCACAGAACTGCAAACATGTAGCTTTACTCGGTGTAATCCTGCTGGGTCACAAAATGTGAATAACTACCAATTCCGGCTTGGCACTGTATGGAATCCAGGCCATTATAGCTTAGTAAACATCCCATGGTTGAAAAAACCCCATAATGAATCAATCCCAATAATCCTCATGAACTTTTTATTATATGGACTATGTTATGCACTGCAATTGTGAGGAAAGGGATCACATAAGAAGGGAATGGAATACTGGCCCTTTTAAAAGTCTATGTTAAGACAGGTGGCCAATAAAATTTACAAATAAATAAATAAATAGTGCAAGATTGCTCATTGCTGAAAATCAGAGGACCCTCAGACAAATCCAGCAATATTGATCTTGCATAAAGCGAGCTTCTCCCTTACATTGCCTGATGCAGAGATAAGCAGCATAAAGTTAAGACATGAGCATTAAACATCAACACACTTGAAAACTTAAAATTGTTATATCAGCACGTTTTGAAAGAGTGCTAGGTTTTTCTCCTTCAACTCATCCTTCATCCAGCTGCACTAAGCTAGAAAACATTGATTTATGCATGCAAAGAATAGGCAATGTATCCTATCTATCTCACACCAAATAAGTATTTCCTTAAGCTATTCTCAGGATGAAAAGGTAAGGATCAAAGCAGAGTAATTCAAATGCCTTGGGAGAGCATCCCATGGGACAAGCAGTCTATTTGTATTCCACCTGCCTACAGAATCACAGGGAGCCGCAAGGGAGGGACAGGATTAGCTCCTGCTATCTACAGGTAAAACAATACATGATGGTAATTTCTAGTACAAATCAGTCTTGCATACAGATTTTGTCAAACCATATACATAATAAGTTTAACTGTCTAACTATCAGATAACAGATAATCAGAGTTGGAAGGGACCTTGTAGGTCATCTAGTTCAACCCCAAGCGAGACCCTACACCATTTCTGACAAATGGCAGTCCAATCTCATCTTGAAAGTCTCAAGTGATGGCACTCCCACAACTTCTGAGGGCAAGCTGTTCCATTGGTCGTTTGTTCTCACTGTCAGAAAGTTTCTCCTTATTTCCAGATTAAATCTCTCCTTGTTGTTTCCATCCATTATTCTTTATCTGGCCTACAGGCGCTTTAGAAAATAACTTGGCCCCTTCCTCTCTGTGGTAGCCCCTCAAATATTGGAAGACTGCTATCATGTCTCCCCTAGTCCTTCTCTTCACTAGACTAGCCATGCCCAGTTCCTGTAACCGTTCCTCATATGTTCTAGTCTCCAGTCCACTAATCATCCTGGTTGCTCTTCTCTGTACTTTTTCTAGAGTCTCAACATCTTTTTTATAATGTGAATAAAACTGGATGCAGAACTCTAGGTATAGTCTTACTAAGGCTTTATAGAATGGTATTAGTACCTCACTTGATCTCGATTGTATCCCTCTGTTAATGCAACTTAGCTTTGTTATTGCATTAGCTTTTTTGGCTGCTGCTGCATACTGCTGGCTCATATTTAGCTGGTTGTCCACTAAGACTCCAAGATCCCTCTCCCTCTCACAGTTACTGCTATTAAGCCTGGTTTCACCCAGTCTATATGTGTACTTTTGGTTTTTCTTGCCTAAGTGTAGGACTTTACTTTTCTCTACATTGACTTTCATTTTGTTAGATACAACAAAATGAAATTCAGTGTAGAGAAAAGTTAAGTAAAGATACAGCCCAGTGTTCTATGTTTGTTATTACTGTTTTAAGACTGGGTGTAGGCTCAAAATTTGATGAAAAGAAGACTCTTAAAACTAATTTTAAAAAGTTTTGCAATATATATGTAGACACTGCTGCAAATGTGGGAGGGGGTGCCTTATGTTTTTTTTTTCCTTTTAAGATTACATATGGCTTATTCTCAGTCAGAGTAAGGCAGTGTTTCAAATTTCAGAGCAGGTACCTGGAAGCCTGGTTGAAACCATGAATTCACTAGATGTTGGCCTTTTTGCTCTCTCTTAGTCTAATATACACCAGAGTATTGTTATGAATAGGGGGGGCACTGGTATAGAAATGAAAAATAAATAAAATTTGTGATTTTATAAAAATATGTACTAAGCAGAAATACACTGGAACAGAATCAATAACTTAACAAACTGTTTTATTCAATAAAAGAATAGCAATAGCAATAGCCTTTAGACATATTGTCCTATAGTGCTTTACAGAACTATCTAAGTGATTTACAACGTCAGCATATTGCCGCAACAATCTGGGTCGTCATTTTACTGACCTCAGAAGGATGGAAATCTGAGCCAGTCAAGATTGAATCCTTGGCAGTGGGCAGAGTTAGCCTGCAATACTACATACCACTGTGCCACCATGACATTATGTGGCTGTCATCTACTACTGAGTAAATATTTACCTGTTCTTTGAATGCAGGGAATATTGAAATACTATTTCTTGTGTAAATTGATTACTGCTTCATTTTGCATTTTACTACCACCTCATATTTTAATTTATAGAAAAGAAAAAAAATAAGAGTGCCTATAATACTAAGAAAGTCTCCTTACCAAATGCAAGGCCCAAAATCACCATGCTCAGCTCAATAGCCAGAAGGAAAAATCTTGTGATTTCCCACAGGATCTAGAAGAGATGACAACACAGATCAGAGAGCCAAATTCAGCAAGTCAAAGAGAGAGTAAATGTGCAACATTAGTAATTTGAACATTAAAAGACACTGACCATTTTTAAATAAGTACATTATACATGATTCTGTTTTTTTGAATAATCACTATCATATACAAGAACTATTGGTAGTATCTACCTATGATATACCAACATTAATTTCTTTTTTGCACATATGCTATCAACTATAAGTGTTTCTTGCCAAATTATTTAGGCAGCAATAAACACCTAATTATTGTTCAGGAAATTTTGTTCACTTGGCCACAACAAGTTGAGCAAGTAAAAGTAATTCTTACTATGATGCCTTTTTCTTCCAGCTCCAATTACTCAAGAGGATGAACTTCAGCTTTGTACTTTATGTTTTGACACTTCCTTTCAAGTGTTTGTCTTATGCACCAATAGCCATAAGTTGCATTAACAACTCATTCTAAATTAGTTATTATTTGCCCACTTTGGATGGATATCTCCTACCCCCCCCCCCCCCTAATGTACCTTGACTATATTTTGACCACCCCTGAATCCCTCCAACAATATCAGGAGAGTAATCTAACTGAAATTTCCAACTTTTTCTTTGAGAGGTATATGCCAGATACTCGAGTATATCTTTATTATCATCTGTGATTATAAGTTAGTATTAAATTCAATACTGAAAGTGGGAAAGGGGAAGGGATCAAATCTAGATCTACCTCTTAAAACTAAAGCTGATCTCACCTTGTCAGTAACTGTAGCAGCAGTAGAAGCACTGACTGTCATGGAGACAACAGCCCGAGCAATCCCAACCACAGCAACCACAAACACCTGGAAGAAAATAGCTAGGAATTTAGTAAGTGTGTTGTGCAGAGCTAACACATAGAGACTAATAATAATTTCTAAAAATAAGATCTTAAGACAGCAGAGAAAATAACAAATAGGATGCCCTGCTATAAGTGAGAAAGCTATAGAAAAATAAGCTTCAGGTTACCCATACTATCTATATCTATCTATCTATCTATCTATCTATCTATCTATCTATCTATCTATCTATCTATCTTCCATCTATCTATCTATCTATCTATCTATCTATCCATCCATCCATCCATCCATCCATCCATCCATCCATCCATCCATATTTCATGAAGGGCTACAGAAATGCTTCATGGTTGAATTTTTTAAAAACACTAAAAAGACACTTCATTATCTTATTCTCTTCTTAATAACATTTCAAAGCACAGTAATGCTCGTTATATTATATTCACAAATGTGAAGCTTCCTCAGTATATGAGAAAGTATATACTGTATACTTACAGTATATAATGAGTCCCAATACTTCACCTAAGTTGACTCTATAGGATCCTTTCTAATGCTGCACCAGTAAAATATATCTACTTTCTCTCTAAGATATTCCTGCCTTTCCAATCACTACTTGAAATGTTACATTGCTAAGCAATCCCACAACCATTGCCGAATGCTATCCCTACTGGATAAATGCCTCCAATGTTATATGCCCAGAAATGCTGTTAAGGCTAATACCGATAGTTACTACATTTGACTAACCTCAAATGTAGAATCCTGCATAAATGTCTCACTGTAATTTTTACAGCCTATAATGCTATACATTTATCCTGCAGTCTTATATGTAATTCCCCAGGGGAAATATTTATAAATTGTGTTTAGTGAATGTATCCCTGCAATTCCAAAGCAATACAAGTTTGCCACAGAACTTCTAAAGTTCCCAAACTTTTTCAGTCCACTGCCCCCTTGGTGCTACAAACTCATCCTCAATGCCCCCAACCCAGTGGCGGGATTCAAATTTCTGTGGGCGTGGCCTAATTTGAGGGTGTGGCTTGCTGGTCACGTGACTGGGTGGGTGTGGCTTGGTGGTCACGTGACTGGGTGGGCGTGGCTTGGTGGTCACGTGACTGGGTGGGCGTGGTTTGGTGACTGGCAAACCAAATACAAGTGGTCCTCACTTACTGGCCGGTTGCTTAGCAAGTGTTTATGACTGGCCTCCTCAGAACTACTTGACCTGTTTTTGGAGTTTTGACAGCCATGCACACACACATACACATACTCCCTTCCAACCCTGCTGAAGCAGGTCATTGGACTAGAATTGGCAAAGCATCTCTGATTAGATTCTAGTAGTGAATAAAATCTAATCAGAGATGCTTTGCCGATTCTTGTTGATTTGGTTTTTTTGTATTTCTTTATTTTATGTTGCTGAATTGCATTGACACGTGTGTCCCTTCTTGTGCACAACCCAGAAGCTTTTGTGATTCTTTGCAGCAAAAATTACCAACCTCTGGCTTTGCTCTACTTTTCAAGTGTGCTGGCACTGCTGTGTTCAAGGTACCAGCCCTGCAGGTCCACCCCATTGAGCCCGCTGCACTGGAGGGACCTGCCCAAGCAAGTCCGAGCGGAGCGGTACACCAAATCAATGGGGTGAGCTTGGGAAAGGGAAAGAGAGAGAGAGAAAAGAAAGAAAGAAAGAAAGAAAGAAAGAAAGAAAGAAAGGAAGGAAGGAAGGAAGGAAGGAAGGAAGGAAGGAAGGAAGGAAG